GTCATCAGTTTATAACGGCGTTGGTTGCAAACATGCCCTTTCACACAGTTCATGATTAGGCAGTCAGCACTTGTGCAGGTGTTTTTGACACGTTCGTATTTATGGGCCCCCATTAAACAGGTAAGAACCGACTGTCAGGCAGCCTCAGCAAGACGCCGCCATAAAGTTTGGAGCCGTCACTCATGCAGATCCGAGTGGCGGCTGTACGCGGGGATAAATGGCACGTCAACTTGGGTTTTTTCATGACTTATTTGGAACATTATTTTGGCCCGGATGGGGTGACTACACAAGATGTATCCTCAATGACTTTTAAAAGCAACATTTGGGTGCACAACATTTTCTATCAGTTCGGATTTGAATCTAAAATCGAATTGGTTTAAAAATATATATATATAGGAAATTTCAACTGTTTGCATGGCCATGGCCAGCATTGTGACTGCGAAAACTATCTGTGGATGGCAACACAATGAAGCTGAAATCTGATTGGAGAAAAAACAAAACAAAACAAAACAAATGACTTGAAGCCAAAGACTGTTGGAAATAAAATTATTCCCATTTCATGAAAACGTAGGAATGTGCTTCGGATCATGTTCGAGCCTGCAGAGAAAGCAATGAAAGGCCCTGACAGCATGCCATTGATAGAAACATTTCCAAGAGGATAGAACGTCTAATATCTGGTACCACCTGCTGGTCAATATTAGAGATTATACAACAGAACGGGGAAAAAAAAAATTGCCAGATTGTGGTTTATTCAGTACAGTGCTTGGAACGCATTGTCTTGCTCCGAGGTGTACAGGCTGTTACAACCAACTAAACGAAAAAGAATATTCACGGTGAATTGCCAGCCTCCGCTGGATGGCCCCGCGGACCCGCTCGCTGATTGTGATGCACGGCGGCTGACAATCAGCCCATTGCAGAGGGCCGTCACCTCATGCTTGTGGGCTGATGACAGTGGGAGGCGGTGGCCCCCACCCGACACGGCAGTAATTGGACATTACTCGCGGAGAAAGGGCTAAAAGCATCCCCGCCACTCGTTGTGCTGACAACCCTCTTTTGCTCTCATCACACCTGTCTCCATTTCCCTTTGCTCTGGCCAGTGCGGCTTTAATTGTAATGGCCTTTCTGGAAGTGTTAAAAGCAGCTCCGAGGCACGTTGGGGAGGGGGGGCGGGGGGTCATCACTTTAACAAATAGAACGAGAAGTGGAGGCATTTACACTTTCGAGTTGTCTGCCGCTGCTGTGTGCTCACAATGAGAGGCAATAAAATCCACATTGAGCACAGCCGGTTGTCTGTTGAACTTTTTCCCTCTTTTGCCATCAGGGGGGTTTTTCTGTGTACACATCACAACTAAGCGGAAGACATCTGAGATCTGTGCATACGTACGCGCGCGCGCGTGTGTGTGTGTGTGTGTGTGTGTGTGTGTGTGTGTGTGTGCATGTGTGCGAATCAGAGCAGAGCGATAGCATGTCAGTTAAATAATCGTCGCAATGCTTTGTAATTCCCGACAGCCCCAAACGGTGTTTATTTGTGTTAATAATCTAAGTGTGGCTCTTCGGCTGCTTTGTACTATCATCATTAAGGCCGGGTTTGCATTTTTAATGACGAGGGGGAGGTGCGGGGGGAACAAACACAGCTTTATGAACATGAACAAACGGCTATGAGGTCAAATTCCAACAATCGGCATCGAGATTAATCAGCCTTAAGCGATCGGTGTCATAGGTACAGGTTTGGATTAGTTTGTACATGCGGGGATCGAGCATTAGTCGATAGTCACTGCACTGAACGTCTCTCAGACGTATTTTGCCAAGGACATTCCGAGTATCCGCCTTTGACCGAAAATATGCCACACTGGTGAAATGACATCATTGAAGATAAATTAATTGTCAGGCTGGAGCAACGACGCCACTTTCAATCACCCTTTGGGCAAGTCAAGACTTTATTGGAAATAAACAAAAATAAAAATGACAGGACAAGCTTTCTGAAGCTTTGCAGACTGTTTTGGTTTAGCGGCGGCTGGCGGCTAACTAAATCGTGACGCCACGCATCAGAGTCATTTTTATAATTTATAAGTCCGTTGTTTATAAAAAAATAAAATAAAAAAAAAAACAAACAAACAAACTGGAGAGGCACGTGTCCTTTTAACCCATTTGGAAGAGAAAATTCACCTGGAGCGACGCATTGTTTTCATGTGGAGCAGCAAGACTGTTTATCCAAAAGGTGACCGTGGCTCCGCATCCACATGTTCAGCAACTATTCAATTCACCGAAAAAAAAAAAATCATAAAGACTGTGTAAATTTGCAGCATTTTTAAAAAAACATTTGTACTTTTTGATGCACTGGAACCAGTACCAACGATTAAGCCGGGACCCTCAAAAATGACATTATGGCTCATGCAATATGGATTATAAGGCTTTCCCTGTTGCGCGAAATATAGGCGGATCGAATGGAAATGTATACAAATAGCCGCAGCGCCTGATTTATCGCCACCGACTGGCCCCTCCGAGAGAGGAAATTGCATCTAAAATTTAATGTCTGGGGGGGGTGGGAAAGAAAATCTAAAATCTGCAGCGCTGTTTTCTGAAAACACGCCCAGAGGCAGAAAGAAACTTCACTGGGTATAATTTTCCCAATCGAACCAGTTCAACATCAACTGTACGTGATTATTCTGGCTTTGGTTTTTCTTATCTTTTTTTAATATGAGGCAAAAAAATACGTCAGTCAAAGTCTATTTTCGTCATGATTCATTTGAAGGATGTTTGTCAGTCAATGTTAGGGTAGTAGTTGTGGTTTGGGTCCTATATGGAAACGATTGGTGCCATCAAAGTTGAAAGAACCCTGTTGTGATGAGCAAGTTGTTACTGAGATGTGTCATGCTTTTACGCACTTGGTGAGTATTTTTGCTAAATTTATTTGGGAGCTTGGCCGCCTGTTGTTTCAATATCCTTGTAAGGTTTTTGGGGAGAAAAAAAGTAGACGGTTCCATGTTATTTATATTGCCTAAAATCGCAATCAAAGCTCTTTCAAGGTGCAGGTACAAAACCACATGTCTCACACACACACACACACACACACACCAAATAAAACAATGAGAACAATCGACGCATAATCACGGCTCTCATTCAACGCCGCACGTCAAGACCCGTTTTGACACAAAACAGCTCTTGTCGCCGTATCACCGAAACACATCTCAGCGCGCATCTTCAAAGGAGCCGCAATTCTCTCATGAAGATCTTTACTCGGAGTGCTGAACGACTTTTCAATTAGTTCCATGTCAGCGTGATTGGGCGTCAGAGCCTTCGATGGGCCTGGAGGCCCGTTGATCAACGCTGATAGAGGCTGAAGAAGGCTCAGCCGTAATTGCTATTATGGATGGGGACAATGATGTGCGCGTGTGTGTGTGCGTGCCCGTGCGTGTACTCAAAGTGTTTTATGAGTTCCTGTCACTCTCCACTTTCATGTTCGTTATCAGACTTTTCGGGTAAAATATACAATGCAGCGAAACAGTAAGCGCCCGCTTCTGAAATGATTACTTTTTGGGGGGGTTGGGGGCAGATTTGAAAGTTTTTAAGGTTTAAGATCATCCCAAAAAAAAAAATCTGACAAAAAATGCTGTTCTTAAATGGGGTTGTTTGTTTTATTTAGGAAAAAAAATGGAATCGAATCTACTGGCCCTGTGTGAAAACGTATCTGCCTCTTCAACCAAATAACTGGCTGGACCAACTCGAGCAGCAACAGCTCAAGGTTTTTTTTTTTTTTTTTTTCTGCATCTGCCAATGAGTCTTTCACATCCATCATTTGTGAACAAATGGAAACAATTTGGGCAAACAAGCACAGCGAAGAAGCAACAAAAGAAGTAAGTGTGCAGATCCCGAGACAAAAACGGTGAACAGCAGTTCGCTTTTCGATGTGGACTGAAGTCAGGCAGCTGGTTTGCAACATTTTTACTCCATTGGGCGATTTGTGAAGTAAGGCTACACACAAATTTGAACGTACTTGTAGGCTAAATGCTAAAAGCATAGCATTTTTTCCCGGCAATAATGCCACTGGGAATACCCAAGGAATGCATTTTTATTGATTGATTTATTTTTAGCAGTGACGAACTGTAATTTAGCAATGAAGGAAGCGTGGTGATGAACCAACAGACTGGGCCAGACTGAAATAACGATGACCTGACCATGACCAGCGAGCAAATGATGAATAATGGACCGGGGGAATCAATTGATGTACTACCGCCGCTTATTAGAATGCGATGTTTGAATTGTTTGAGGTCCTGTTTGACTATGTGTAAAAAAATAGAAATAAAAAGATTTTACACAGCGGTGCACCGAAGAGTAATTGCATGCACTGTGTGTATTTCCACAGATCTAAGCTAGTTGTGTTCGATCTTTCCTTCCCCTATTAGATTAGTATTGACGGGCGGCGAGAACAAATGGCTACAACCTCCATGTTGGGTCTCAGCAGTCACTTCAGCCACATATCAAACGGAAACAATAATAAATATTGGATGATCACGCTGCAAGGTGGATGGCTGTGCAAGAAGTGCGTCGCAGGTGAGACGAGCGAGAGAAAGAAAGTGGTGAATGAGTAGATGGATAATATGAGAGAGAGAGAGAGAGAGAGAGAGAGAGAGAGAGAGAGAGAGAGAGAGAGAGAGAGAGAGAGAGAGAGAGAGAGAGAGCACAGCCAACAGCATGACACAGGGAGCAGCTGAATTAAAGAGGCTTTTTTTTTTGTGGCATTTAATATCCATTCATTGGCTGGACTGCTGACACAGTCAGAGCACTGCGCTCAGGATTTATAGCCACTAAGAGTGGGCATGCCCAGAACCGAAGCAGTGCAGTCAGCACATTCTCACTCTACCCATACGCACGCTTGGAAAGACAGCTGGCTGCGCGCGCACGCACGCACACACACACAAACATTCACTTGGGTACCAGAGGTGGTATGAAATTTGGTCAGTCATGTGCAATGGAAGCAGAGGAACAAACAGAACACCAACCTGCCCAACTGGGGGTCTCCATGTACGGCCGACTGGTCCGAGTGAAGGGGCCTGTAGAGGAGCACAAAAGAGAGAAGGGGTTGGGGGGGTAAGCATTTAAACGATCACAGACATAAACTTGGGTGCCATCATTCGGACAGAAAAAGAGATGGAGCGTTCACCTTCGCCCGTTGACGAAACCTATACTGTAGAATTTAGTGTTATGTGGTAAGGATCTCACTGCTGTAATCATGCAGCGTTAAATAAAAGACAAAGGAATTATCTCCAAAACCCACTGATAAAACGGAAAGCTCTTTGCGTGCACTGGCTCTCGTAAGATCGGATTCAGTAAATGTCAGGAAAATCCTACTAGATCAGCAGAGCTTTAGTGCGGGTTAATGCGAGTCGCTTCGGGTGAAAGAAGGTGTGTCGCGAGTGCTGGGTCGGTAAGATCTGGGGAGCGGAATGTCAGGATGACCATAGAGAAGAAGGATAAAAATATATATTGACACGAGTGTGCTAGAATTGTGTACGGACGTGAGAAAAGAAAATCGACTTCCTAGGCAGACAGCAGCATTTACAACACTTATTGCTTATGTCGGTGGTGCCACTGGCTCAGACAATGTGCTCCCTCTTGCTGCGACTGTATTGTCCTAATTAGTTTGGCGTAATGGCAAGACGAGGCCAATTCGGATTAAAAATGTATATGGCGAGCGCAAGATGGTGGCAATTGTGTGAATGTGAGCATGTCTTAAATGGCCGGCATTAATCCAATGCGTTACTCTTATCGTACGTGATAGCGGGAGAGGGAGAGGTGGAGGGGAGGGGTGCTGTGGGGAACACTCGGCTTGTTCCTGCTGTGAAAAGCGGATTGATATTGTACGCTTTCATCTTAACTAGCACCACATGTTTAAAGGTTTTTTTTTAAAAGAAAAACTGAAAGAAACTACAGTAAAAGAAAAAAAATGATAAGATGAAACTAGTAAAAATTGGAAAGATAATCAGCAAGATAATATTAAAAAAATAATTGAGTACTAAAAATCCTTGAAATTGCAAGAAGACAAAACCTGACCAGATAAGAGTTTTAATCAATGGCAGTCATTTTTAGACTCTTTTTTTAACTTGAATTCTTGAAAAAAATATATATATAAATAAGTATTTGGGGTTGAACGTGTGCAGTCTAAAAAGACGTTTAAATACGTCTTTGGGACTGAATGTGTTAGCGCTGTGATTACCAAACACAAATCCAGAAACACAATCATGCGAGTCTTTAATATTTGGTGAAAACATTGGGCAGTTACAACCCGGAAGTAAAAACAACAATAACGATGCTGCATGGTGTTGATTTCAGCCTTCGATTCGAAAGGCAGGTAAGTCGCCACTGGGTCTTCCTTTGCCCATTTATTGGCCTAAAATTTTCGCACGGTTACCAACGTCTGCAGCGAGCCACGTCTATCATCGGTGTCATTCAAAGGCGTCTCCACACGTGTTGCGCTTACAATGCTCTCTAATGCATAGTGGGAGGACGAACAACAAGATTTGAGCCATAGATTGGAAATAAAATTAAACCAGCAGTCATTCTAACTCACCAAATGGAATGATGTCAGACATCACCCAGTGATGTCACTGCACTTCCTTGAGCGACTGCCAGCTTGTGCGCTCGCTCAAGGAACATGATTGGGTTATGTGTGTGTTGATTACTGCGTGCGTGCGCGCGTGTGACTCGTCGAGGGGGCCGCCCGACAGGTGACTGCAGCCTGATTCCATTAACCATCCGGTAATTTGACCTATGTTTAATCAAATCAACTTTAATACCTCCAATCAAATTACATCAGCCTCCTGTGTCCTATCACAAACACCGAGTAGGAGCTGAAGAGGTAGCGGAAGATGAGACCAAATTTGCAAAGAGAGTCCAAGCCCTGCCGAAGTGTGAAACGGACTGCGTGCAATAAAATCATCGTCAGCAAATTCCAAATATCTAATATGGAGAAAAAAAAATGTCAACCGGGCATGGTAGTCATATTTTTTTTACAGTTTACTTTGGTGGTATTTTGAGTACCGGTATGTTGAGTTTGATTGTCATTTCTCTAAAATGAATAACACACAAAAAAAAAAAAAGCATTGATGAATAATTCAAAGTATTATGATAATCAGCTTTGCATAGATTGAAGACAAAGTAACAAGGCATAAAAAGGTAACAAGGATGTACAGCTACAGTATAAAAATCAATGCTGACATTCACTAACCCCGCCCCCCCTCTGGTTTGGAATGAACGGGAAAAGTCATTTGCTTTACGGGGAGGAGTGGTTGTTATCGTGCAGCTGGGGTGCTACTTTTCGATTAGTGATTAGGAGGATAAAGAGCAGTGGAAGTTCCCTAAGGCTGGATGGTTGACAATGGAACACATGAAGCCTGCTTTTGTGTGTGTGTGTGTAACGATGAGAGCAGAGCTCAGAGGATGTCAGCTTTTAATGCTGAGATCACAGCTTCCCCACCAGCAGTAATCTCATAGATTTCATCTAATTTAATTGGAAACACCTTCACTTCAACTAATGGGCCTTTTTATTTTCGGATATCTCCATGCTGCCGGGTAATGCTGGCCGCTGATGAGACTTCCTTGGCTGGGCTTTCATTTATACATAAATATCTTATCATCTTATTCGATGTGTATTTTGTTTGCTGACAGATGTTATTTATAATATTATATATTCAGTGTTATAGATATAATATTTATACATTCAAAGAAATATATAAATACATTAATGAATACTAAAAAAAAAGGAGCACAACAACCACCAAGCTGTGAATAGCATCAGTGAGAATATGGTATTTTCAAGCGCTTTACAAGACAGGACTGCAAAGACGGTTCGTTTTTTTTTTTTTTCTTCCCTGCACATAAGTGACATGACATGAGATGAAGCGATTAGAATTCCCTATAAAAGTGAAGGTAAGCCGAAGTCAGTGCATCTAAACACGAGGATAAAATTGTTGGCGCCGCTCTGTTAATGAAATGATAATAATAGTAAGGAATAAATACACATTAAAAAAAAACTCACATGCTAATATTCTGCTTGTGAAAGGGTTATTGACTGAATGCAAACGCAGTCACTGTGCTGTTTTGTGACTGTGTGGATACACTTAACATGGACAAGAGGAAGCAGGGGAGAGAGGTTGTTCCAAAAAAAAAAAAAACTGTTCCATAATCATCCTTCCATCCATCCATCTCCATTTTCTGATCCGCTTTTCCTCTCAAGGGTCACAAGGCGTACTGGAGCCTACCCCCGATGTCTTCGGCCAGCAGGCGGGCGACACCAAGAACTGGTTGCCAAACAACTATCTGCACAATCACACTTAGGTACAATTTAGAGTCTTCCATTAACCTGCCACGCATGTTTTTGAAATGTGGGAGGAAACTCGGGTACCCAGAGAAAACCCACACAGGCACAGGGAGAACACTCCATACAGGAAAGCCGGAGCCGGAATCGAACCCTGCACCTCTGCACTGTGAGGCAACCATCGCGAGACATAATTGTCTTACAAAGTATCAGCGAGTACTCAATTGAAGTACTTCGACTAAAATAGACTCATTATGTGTGTATCACTGTCCATGTAAAATTTAAGAGCATTCTGTGGTGAGAAAAAAAAAAAAAACTGTCTGGTTGCTTTCAAACTTTCCTCGAAGCAATATGTTACATGTCAAGAAAGGTCACATACCATGACCTGATGCTGCTCTGCTAATGGAAATGCCCCCAAAACATTGTGAACTGATTCGATCATGTCGTAGCGTCCCTCTTCCCCGCCCCCCCCCCCCCCATCAGTTTACTTTGAAGTCATTTCACACAAATCTAACTTTCTGGTTGAGTGTGCCTACTTCCTTCAGACCCACCGTACACAGGATGGCGCTTTCAGTTCCCACTAGCGTTTATTGTGCCAGGTCCACATAAAAGCTTGATTGTGGCCATATACTCCAGTATGCTTGACTGTGCGTTATGGCCACTGATCTTTATGTCTCTCCGCGCAGGAGGAAGACCATCGCCTCAGCAAAATGTTGGCTACATAGGCACTTGTGCTTGCCTCGTGTGACTTTGCCAGCGTGCGTTTGCATGAACTCGCCTACACCCCCGCCGCTGCCGCCACCGGTTCATCTGCATACGTTCTCCCGAGGGGACGCGTACAATGGGAACACTTAAATGAGGCATGCATAAATGGATGAAGCGCCTCTTGCATCTTATACAAGGTCTTGTGTGGGTTTTTCCTCGTTGCATGTGTTTTATTTTCCCTTCTTACACGCCTAGCGGTGGCAGTTAGGTAATTGAAAGCGAAAATGGAAGGGGAAGCGAAGGAGAGAAAGCGCGTGCGGATGTGAAAGATGGAGAGGGATGAGGGGCGAGGGTGACGCTCCTGGAATCAGACACAATTAACCCCTGAAATAATTCAGGGATCAGATGTGCTGTAAACACCTGGAAAGAATATGTTTAAAAAAAAGGGAGGTGGCGAACAAAATGAGAGGTTGGACGAATGAACGGAACACAAAAATGTAATGTGGCTCCAATGGAATGGCGTATTCACGCGCGTGTGTATGTGGAGGCATCCAGCGGACTTCTATTCAATTTCACTCCACCTCTGTCTTTCTTTTTTGTTTTTTGTTTTTTCTGTAAACATCCGAATGCCTTGAGGTACAATGGGTGAGCGGTAAGCTGCCATCTCTGGTAGGGTGAACTCTATTTCACGGGTTAGTGCTACAGTGAACAACAACAGCATCAAGCCTCTTGGCTTCATAAACCGGCGCAGCGCAGTTTCCATTGCGACTGTTTGTCCGCTTTTAGCTCCGGCAATAACTGTCAACAACGGGACGGCAGGACTTGAAACAACTAACTTTGATGGACAGAGGAATCATCCCCGCGGAATGAACCACTGGTGTGGAGCACCCCTTAGACAAGTAAGTAATATGTTTGCACAAAGCCTCATAGCAGAGCACTGTGCGTTGAACTTGACATTTTTTTAAAAATGTAAATTGCTTTTGAGGCAACCTGTTAGCTTGGCTTTCAGCAGATTTGCTGAAACTATGGCGG